CATGTCTTGACTGAGAGAACAGGCAATGATCATTGATAGGACTTCTGTGGGTAGGTATGGAGGCTCATTGCAGCTTGTATGTGGTGTAATGGCTTCTACAGAGAGCCCAAGTCATCCCCAAGCTCTGAACAATCATTTCTGTATGCTAGAAGCTACTTTTCTATTTAAACACACTCCGAACTCAGGTTCTCTATTTTACATTGCTTCCTCGACTTAAGTAGTGTCGGTATAATTTCATTTTTGTGCACCTTGCCATTATGCTCTAATGACCAGTGAGCAGAGGGAAGTACTGGATAGAGCTGTTCCCATATCTGCAGCCCATTCTGCTGATAAACGTTGTTGAGTGGCAATAATGTCCTAGAATTTATAGAGAACTAGTCCGTCTTATCAGCTCTACAAGATACATCCATCTTCAAAATGCTATTTTTATATGCAAACTGACAGCCGGTAAGGAAGTCTAACACTCAAACTGTTTTCCAGGTTAATGGGGTGTGGAGGAAGCTTCCACTCAGCTTCAGCAGTGGCACCATCAACATCCAGAGCAACCCTGCTGCTGTTGTCCTTGCAAGCAGTTTCGGTCTTTCTGTCTCAATTGACAGCGCCGGTGCTGTCCACGTTACCCTCCCGTCTCGCTACTCTGACAAAGTCTGTGGCTTGTGTGGCAACTTCAACCACCTCTCAGAAGATGACTTCCTCACGCCTAACGGTACACGTGCACAAGATGCCACAGATTTAGCAGAAAGCTGGCAGACCGGGGAAACGACATCCTCCTGTGAAACCATTCTGGTGCCTCATCAGTGTGAGCCATCGGAACAGGCTGAGTACGCCAGTGAGCTGTACTGTGGAGACCTCATCTCCAGCACTGGGCCCTTTGCTGGCTGCTCATCAGTTCTCGGGGCAGAGAGCTACTTCCGAGGTTGTGTGCGTGGCATGTGTTCTTCTCACGGTGACCCAGCGGTGCTGTGTGAGACACTACAGCTCTACGCTGACATCTGCCATAAGGCCGGCATTGCTGTACCTACATGGAGGAACTCAACATTCTGCCGTATGTTGCTTTATTGATTTCTGCTTTCATTTTTCTTCCTCCTGTTATTAAAATAGGACAAATAGTGGCGAATAATGACAGCAATAATGCAATAACAGCTGAGGTCACGCTCTCTGCTCTTTCCTCTCTACTCCCGTGCCCCCTCAGCCCTTCAGTGTGGTGAGAATAGCCACTATAACTCATGCGCTGATGGCTGTCCCGAGGTGTGCTCCAGCCTGGATGTAGTTGGCTCTTGTGGAAGCTGTGAAGAGAGATGCGAGTGTGACTCTGGTTTCAAGCTCAGTGGGGGAAAGTGCGTTCCAGCAGAAGACTGTGGGTGCTGGTATAAAGGAGAACACTATGAGGTCAGTGATGCAGATGAAGTCAAAAATAATTTCCTTCTTCACTTATTCAATTTCAGATGTTTTACTAATGCAACACCCTTTCCCCTGCCAGAAAGGTGAAACGCTCATAGAGGGAGACTGTGTGCAACAGTGCCAGTGCATGGGCAATAACGCCACGCAGTGCGCCCCAATGCATTGCACAGACAGTGAGGTTTGTAAGGTTGACGGTGGGGTCAAAGGCTGCTTCTCTTTCAAACCCGTCACTTGCAGCGTGTACGGCGACCCGCACTACATCACCTTTGACAAGCTGGAATATCAGTTTCAAGGGGGCTGCAGCTACACGCTGACTACCACGTGCAGCGGGGAAAGCTCAGTCCAGTTCTCGGTGATTGGATATAACACGTATCCTCCCCATCAGAACTTCACCAGGTCCAAGCTTGACGCCGTGGCTCTTGAGGTTGACGACCTGTTCCTTACCCTGAATCAAAGCGGAGAAGTCTATGTAAGCAGTCGAATTCTCGATACTTCACGCAAGTTCCTCAAAGCATTTAAATCTGTTATTGTTTCTAGTTCAAGTGTTTTGTGACCTTCTAGCAGTCCATTTACTGGATGCAGAGTGTTACTGTGTTACTTTATGACAGTGCTTAATGGCTTTCATATCAGCACAGACACGTTTATAGGGATAAGTTGATGTACAATGTCAGGTCATTGGAGGAAGTCAGTTGTTTATGTATACGTGGAAACTCCAGGTTGCAAACTAACAGTACAACGGGCTTGACTTTGCCCTGAATAGCTAGTTGGTAGCTTACTGGATTCCCTAACAACACCAGTAGAAGAAACCTCAGTCCTCAACTCTACTGTATGAACGACATTCAAAATGAACTCATTACAAATAACCACTTGCTGTCTCTGTAGGTGCACAACAGCCACGTTCAACTCCCATATTCAACCAATGGTACATATGGCTCAGTTTCAGTCCACAAGGAGAGTAATTATATTATCTTGGAGACAACTTTTGGGCTCAGAATGGGGATAGAGATGGAGAACCGACTGTTCCTGCAGGTGGATGAACGCTACAAATACGAACTGTGCGGACTGTGCGGCACGTACTCTGGATACCAGGACGATGACTTTTTAAAACCGGGCGGCCAAAGCGCAAATGACGCATTTGAGTTTGCGGACAGCTGGAGGGTGCCAGACAATACTGGGTAACTGTAAACTTCTGTGCACAATTTCAATGAAATTTTATGATATTTAAATATCTCCTCCAAAAGAAAAATGGGGAGCACTTCAACTGCAAATAAAAAGACTATACTTTTTTTAGTACAAGCAGAATGGTGCTAATTATATTCCCATTAGCCTAAATTGTGCTTGGTGTTTAATGCTAATTAGCAAATGCAAGATAACATCCGAAATTCTGATAGTGAACATTACACCTGCTAAAAAATCAGCACTGGTGTTGGGAGTGTGTTAGCAGGCTAAGCAGGTTCTTGGTCTTGTTATGAAATAGCTGTCTGTGTTCTAACAGCTAACAATCCATCAACAATAATCACAAGCACTCAATCTCACAACTTGGCCTGTCTGGTCAGTTTTCTGAAAACCAGTAAAAATACAGCTGCCAGGTACCAGAGGATAGTCTTAGACCCCCACTTACAGCCTGGTATCTCAACACATCTTTTTATTTATGCACCAGAAGTTCTAAAATCATTATGATTCTAATCTGGAAGCAACAAATTGCCTTGACCTCTGTATCACTGTCTAATTTTCTAAGGTGCATCGCTCAGCCAAATGAGCCAAGACTCTGCGATTATGACGAGGAGAATGAGGCCTACAATGAGTGTTCTGCACTTTTCGGAGATGCCTTCAGACCCTGCCACGAACACATTCACCCAAGCATCTACCTCAATAGTTGTGTGTACGACTATTGCGCCACAAGCGGCGACCAACACACTCTATGTGAATCTCTGAAGTCGTATGCAGCAGCATGCCATTTTGCAGGAGTGAAACTTTCCCACTGGGAGACCGGCACAGTCTGTGGTGAGTGTTTGAGCCAGATGTGGGGATTGTGATGATATCGTACACTATCTATGTCAGACTTGTACCTGTTATTATACTGACTGTGTTAAATGTGATTTATTAGCATTAAATGTTGACTGAAGCCATTCTGTCACATCACCTACATCTACTGATTGTTTTGTCTCTTACCAATAATATCTGCCACACTTTCTGCTGCAATATTTCTTTTGTTCTTATTTTTTTTATTATAGACCCATTGCATAAGCAAACTGGGCAAAAGCCTGGGGCCCTTCCTGAGTGATTTTTTTGTTTGTTTTTGTCAGAGACAAAAGCAAAGTTGGGGAAATTTTTTGCAGTAGTTTTAGGTGATTAAAATGTGGAGGGGATAGCTAAACACACACATTTCCTAGGGCGCCAAAAAGGCAAAGGCAGTGAACTCATTATCTTTTTTTATTGTCTCTTTGTTTGTTTGGCTTTTTCTTTTGTGTTTGTTCCTATTTCAGCTGACCGCCCAACCACAGCAGCTCCTCCAACAAGTTCAGCTCCGACAACACCAACTCCAGATCATACTTGTAAGGCCATCGAAGGGTTGGGAGGGTTTATTAGGGAATGCTTTGGATAATCAGTGGCATTTGTAATTATTATTACTATGTTTGCCAATGCTCTTACTGTTTCTATTGTTTTTATATGCTTTTTCACAGTGTGTCCATTGAAATGCAACTTTGAAAATAATTTTTGCGGATGGCAGCAGCTCATACAGGACAGTTTTGATTGGAAAAGACATTCAGGCCCCACACCATCGAATCTAACTGGACCAAACCAAGACCACACCACCGGAGGTATGGTAAAAATCTACTACAATTACCTCTGTTGTGTTGCTGCACTGTTTTTTTTGTCATGATTCATATTTACTGTGGAATTTTCAACACTTCTCTAGCTGGCTTTTACGCGTACCTTGAGGGAAACAGCGCAACTCACGGAGACTCGGCCCGTTTATTGAGCTCAGTGTGCCATGTTAAGGGCCCACTCTGCCTGCAATTCTGGTACAATATGCATGGTTCAGCCACAGCTATGGCCCTCAATATGTACTTGCTCAAAGGCAATAAAGCAACCAAAGTCTGGTCCATGTCCAACAACCAGGGACCAGAGTGGCATCAGGGAAATGTTGATATTGCAGACTTTGGTCCATTCCAAGTAAGCCTGACAATATATGACTCCTAAAAGATGCTAGACGAATGTTGCACGCTCTTCTTGCAAAGATTCATGATGGCATTCTACACAGTGAACAATAATCGTTTCCCATTACTCCTTTCAGATCATAATAGAGGGAATTCGTGGCTCTACTGCTGAATCAGATGTGGCCATAGATGACATTTCTATCCATTATGGCTCATGCCCAGGTGACATTTACCTCTAATAAAAAGGACAGCAGCATATTCTGAAATTATTTTATGATATATAGTACCATATATTCATATTTTGCACTTGATTCAGATAAATTTTGGATCACGTCTAATATCACAGGGTTTAAACTAAGTCGGTTATCGCTGTTTTTAGGTAACCCTGGTGTGGTTAGTGGAACTGTGCTTCCTTCCACAACAGTTCTCCCTTCACACCCAGGTAAGTACACAGGAAGCTATATTTTATGGGTCAGTTGTTTGAACATCAGAAAAGCTGAAGAGTGGTTACAAATTAACTTTTATGTCGACTCCAGGTCACTCTGAACCAGCAATTTTTATTTTTAGGTGGAACAGGGTGCTTTATTGCGAAGGAAGTTGTGCAAAGGTCCTAATAGTTAGGTCACAGTATTATTAATTTTTTATTTTTTGCAAATTTTTCCCCATAGTCTGCAATCTTGACTGCAGCTTTGACGGCAGCCTTTGCAACTGGAATCAGATGGTCACAGATGCTTTTGACTGGACATGGCAAAACGGGTCCACCCCCACCCTGATGACTGGCCCTTCTGCTGATCACACCGGAGGTAGTCCTCTTTTACTGCATAATAT